GGTCCTGCACCTCCACTATCTCCTCGGCCTGTAAGTCCATAGTTCGTGCCACCCTACGTAACAAGTCTTGGTGGGCACGAAGATCTATAGGAGGTGGGCCTGCGGGTGTTGTACCCACCACTGCCTCATCTGGGGAAGATGAGGACGACGCCTCAGGGGGTAAAGGACCTGTGTGGGGGTCCGGCTCCACGGGACTTGGAGGTGCAGGATCCCCTGCACCAGGGTCTGGCTCCTGCGTGGGCGTCAGGGCCAGAGCCTCCATGCCCCCTGGGGGAGGACAGGAGATGGTGGCCTCAGGAACCCTGGGCTCAGAGTGAGCTGAGCGAGAGGTCGCTAGTGGAGCCCCTTGAGCCTGGTGATACGCCCAAGGGGTCCAGAAAGACCAATGCGTAGGGTCTTGTCGAAGGTTTTCTGCCCTCTCCTGCCAATGACCCAAGTCGTCTGCAGCTTGACCCTGAGCAGGGTACGCTGAACGGGGGGTCCCTTCAGACGAGTGAGACGCCGATCTCGAGGGCCAGGGTGGTGCCGAGCGTGGGTGCAGAGAAACGTCCTGGTACGGTGCCGATCCAACGGCGAGCGATCTCTGCGCGGTGCCGGTGAATGGTACCGGGATTGAGAAGGGTGCCGATGTCCATGTCGGTACCGGGACCCGGATCTGGACCTGGATGACGAAGACCGTCTGTAACCTCGGTGCCGGGAGCAGCCTCGCGAATGTGAGTGGCGCTCATACCGGTGCCAGGAGCTGCGCCTTGACTCCGACCGGTACCGATGCTCGGGTCGGTGCCGAGAAAAAGACCGATGCCGGGAGGTAGATCTGTGCCGCGAGTACGACCGGCGCCGAGATGGAGATCGGAGCCGGGACTGCGAATGGCATTGAGACCTGCTCCGAGACCTGGAGCGGTGCCACAAGTCCACGCCCGGAGACGGCGGGCGTATCAGGGTAGGCTTGTCCCTGGACTGTACTGTACGAAGGGCATGCGATGCCGCAGGTTGAGAAGGCGCCGGCTCTGTGAAGGCGATGAGGTCTCTCGCCGTGGCAAACGTCTCCAGTGTAGAAGGGAGACAGGGCTCCACCACTTGACGAGGCGGTGAGCCAGTCCGCACCGGACTCAACGGCTCCCCACCCGGTGCCGGAGTCAACGGTGCTGAGGATACTTGCACCCTCTGGCGTTCGGAAGCCGGGCGCGGCTCTACCACCGGTGCGGGGGGAGCCGGTGCCTGTTGGACGGCAGCGTCCTGAGTCTTACAGGGCCTTTTATGTCCCGGAGACAGGGACCGGCGCCGAGGGGCTTGCGGCGGACGTGGTGCCGAGGGAGGACGGTGCCGTGGCACCTTTTCCGCGTCTGCCCGCGGTGCAGTACCGGAAGGTGCCGCTGGGGCGCTACGCACCGAGGCGCTCGGTGCCGGAACCTGGCGCGCCAAAGGAGGATCCGGGCTAAGTGCCGCCTCCATGAGGAGCTGTTTAAGCCTGAAGTCCCGCTCCTTTTTCGTCCTTGGCCCGAAAGCCTTGCAAATCTTGCACTTGTCCGTTTGGTGAGACTCCCCTAAGCACTTCAGACAAGAGTCATGGGGGTCTCCCGTTGGCATAGGCCTAGCACATGTTGCGCACGGCTGAAAGCCGGGAGCCTTGGGCATGAGCCCGGCTGTGCGCTGGGGGGGGAAGGGGGGAATAAGAGCCCCCTTAACCCCCGCTAACTAGGAAAACTATTTATAACTATTAACAACTACTAATCTAAAGAACACAATTAACAACTATCTACAAGAAACAACGGGTAAAGCTAGGAGAGTGGAGAACAGCTATGCCGCGCTCCACAGTTCCAACGACCGTCACGGGCAGTAAGAAGGAACTGAGGGGGTGCTGGGTTGACTGGGGTATATATCCAGCGCCATGAAGGCGCCACTCCAGGGGGCTCCACAGCCGACCCACCGGGTGTTGCTAGGGTAGAAAAATTTCTCCGACGATCGTGCACGCGGGGCGCACACACCTAATTGGAATCGATATGAGCAAGCACTCGAAGAAGAACTAGAGATATTTTCTTTAGTGCTGAATTGAATTCATCATGATTCTGAGGCTCAAGACTTTTTAAGTCTTTGCAATAACAAAGTATATGACTATCTGTGATTTTAGCTCTAACGAAGTCAGGGAAGCTATAAGAGCCACCTTTTAAGGGTGGTTTATATCTTCTTGTGAGTGGGGTTGTTTGGGAAGAAATCACCCTCAGCAGGAATGACCATGTCCACTGCCAGGAATGCAACTTCTACATCAATCTCAGGGAGCATAAAAAGAAAAAAAATTAGATTCTAAGACCCTGGGCTTATCTAATGAGACTTTTCCCTTTGTCAGGCGTTTTCCATTCTGTCCTAATGATTTCTTCTGAGGAGGTTGGAGGGGAATAGCAAATTCTGTTTTAGTTCTGACTGGGAGATATTTGCTACTGGCTTTAACCTGCTCATCCTTTTCCTTTAGCTACCACTTTCTTCCCCTTAGTTGCATACATGTCTGGGGGAAAGAACCTTTCATTTCTCTGGTTTTACAGTTTATTATGAACCAAAGGCAAAACTTCTGCTTTTTAGGGAGAGGTGCTAATGCAGGGATGGGCAAACTTTTTGGCCTGAGGGCCAAATGGAAATTGTATGGCGGGGCATGAATGCTCATGAAATTGGCGGTAGGCATGCGCAAGGGGGGTGAGGGCTCTGGGGTGGGACCAGAAATGAGGAGGTCAGGGTGGGGGTGGGGGCTCCGGCGGGGGGTGCGGGCTCTGGGGTGGGACTGGGATGAAGGGTTTGGGGTGCAGCAGGGTGCTCCAGGCTGGGGCAGAGGGCTGCGGTACGGGGGTGAGTAAGGCTCTGGCTAGGGGTGCTGGCTCTGGGGTGGGGCCATGGATGAGGGGTTTGGGGTACAAGAGGCGGCTCCGGGCTGGGATTGAGGGGTTCGGAGGGTGGGAGGGGAATCAGGGCTGGGTCAAGGGATTGGGGCACAGGGGGGGAGTGGGGAAATCAGGGGTGCAGGCTCCGGGCAGTGCTTACCTCAAGCAGCTCCCAGAAGCATGTCCCCCCTTCTGGCTCCTACGTGGAGGCACAGCTAGGCAGTTCTGCACGCTGCCCTGTCTGCAAGCGCCGCCCCCGCAGTTCCCACTGGCTGGGAACTGTGGCCAATGGGAGCTGAGGGGGCGGCATGCAGAGCCACCTGGCCACACCTCCACATACTACGTAGGAGCTGGAGGGGGATCATCCCAGGAGCCGCGCGGAGCAGGAGAAGCCCCTGACCCCGCTCCCCGGCTGGAGCGCAGCAAGCCCCCAACCCCACTCCCTGGCGGGAGCTGAGGAATGGATTAAAAGGTCTGACTTTTTGGGAGGGGTGGGGGATAGAGTGGGGATGATGGTGCACCTCATCATCTGAAATGTAACTAGAAGAAGCATAGGGAGAACATCCCTAAGGGAGCCTAGATCTTTATTTTAGGAAGAAAATCTGAAAAGATGCCAGTCTTTACTATGTGACTCAATTATTCACATGTGGACCTAGTATAGGACCCTGGAGCTTTTCCCTTTATAGGAGACTGAATCAAGGTGTTCAGGAGTTTTAGACTTACCCTCGAAGAATACTAAGCCTGTGAGGGGAATCCAGTTTGCTGAATCCCAAGAGCTGAAAAGGACTGACCCATATTTTAGCGGAGTCTCGACTGAGGGAGTTGTTGGGGGTTGTGGCATGCGCAACTGGTGATGGGAGAAACAGAAGTCCCCAGTTTCTGATCTCCGTAAAAAGCTGGCAGTAATCTTTGCAGGTGGACCAACTCTTACCTTCAGCCTGCTCCAGCCTGCACTGGCATACTTGGGGGGCGGGGGGCATGGGGGAGAAATAACAAGAAGGAACTCGTTATGTGATCCTATCTAGGGACAAAGCCCCTGAAAGTTTAGTCCTGTAAGGGAAAGGAAAGAGTAGAGAAAAAGATGTTGCTCACTATCACCAGAGTCAACTTTAAAAGCTAGTAAATGAATGGATAAGGAGCACTGAACTCATGCTCTGTTTGCACCAACCAATACAGAGAATCTGGAATAAAGGCATAAGGGGTGTAGTCAAATCCCGGAGCCTCAAGGACAAGTTTGAACTGCCTCCAATATTTGCAGAAAGAGGTACAGCCAAATATCCTAGACTGGGGGGACTCATGATCCCAAAGTGATCATCTATCTATCTATCTGGTTACTAAATATTCACACTTCCCCAACCCTTTCCTTCCTTGCCAGCAGTCTACAAACGGATAAGCACAATTGTTTCAGTGACTGCTGAGGAAAGGAAGGTAACAACACGTTGAAAAAAAATTAGAATTCTATTCATTCTAATTCATCTGCCACTGGCATTCTGGAATCAGAGGATCACAGAAAGTAGGTCAGCTGCCCCCACAGTAGTGTTTCCCTTGTCCTGGGCCCCACAGTGAGTCAGGAAAGGGATACGCATCATCCCTCGTTGGCCCAGTTGAGCTTCTCACAAAAAGTTAATACAGCCTGAGATTATATTAACTTTGTGCTTTTCTCTGAATCCATGCTGGGGATCCCCAGATCAGCTACTGGCTTTATGCTGCCTGGAAGCTGGCTGGGGTGCAGGGAAAGGTACCATGGACTGCCATTCAGATGGCCCTGACCTTCTAAAGATCCCAAGTGGATCCAGAGACTCTGTGAGAGGACCCAACAAACTATTCTGCTGGGAGAGGAACGTAATGGGGGCACAAAACAACTGGGAACAAATCTGCACAAGAGAAGTATTATGAAGGTTTCTTTCCTCTTTATCCCATTCTGCAAGAGGCACAATTAGCCCCAAACTTCAAAATCTTCCAATTAAAAAAATTCATATTACCGTATGATGCCTTTTGAATTCTCAAAAGAAAACTGATGTTTTAAACCAACATTTTTTTCACATGCAAAATTCAGTGAACATTATTCTAGTTCATTGGTGATACTAAGCAAAAAAAAAAAAAGTTTTTATGGTCTTAGTAAATATTTAATACCTTTTGCTAATTATTTTTACTGCATATTCTTGGCTAGTTTTCTTGTGTAAACACTTTCGACAGATGGAAAAACTTCCTTCTCCCAGTGGTTTCTCTTTCAGATCCAGTTCATAGTGATGATAAAATGGAGAGTCCTGTCATGAAACTGACTGTATTTAGTTCTGTGGAATACTTTTTTGTAGTCAAAGACACATAATAAATTTTGGTGATAATTATTCATCTGCGTTTAAAGATCCAAAAATACAGTTTTAAAAGAGATCTCGTTTTGGTAAACAACATAGTATAAATTAAGACTGTCTGAGAATAATAATGTGCAATTATATACATAAACTTCTCTAATGGTGCAGAGTACACACATATTTAAGATACTTTAAACAAAAATTCTGAAATAAATTTACTATCAGAATAACTTTATCTACAAAAATATTCAGATAGTGCCAGGGACGATTTACAGATATTGATCCACTAACTGTGTGGTTATTTGGAGATACCACAATGATGGTCATCATACAGAATCTATTTCTAGCTGTAACTACCTATGCAAATATAAGCAGACGTATCATAGAAAGAGAGATGTGAGTTAATAACCGCAGCAGCTTTGAAAACATATACTTACGTAGGGTGAGTACCATTTTGACAGTTGAGTACAAGTATTGTTAATATTTTCATTGCTCTTCTGCTGGTAAGGTGGTGTCTCTGATGTGATTTTTAACACAGTTTTTCAAGGCTGGACTCAAGTTATTTCTTAACTATATGGTATGTAAATTGAATGCTCTAATTGGCAGAAGATCCATTAGCAGACAAAGAGCAGAAAACTGCATAACAACTGTAAATTACTTCTCAACAACTAATTATTAGTACTTCAGCCTCTGGGCTCAGAATTTATTTAGCCTAGAATAAAATTATTACCTCGTAAATCATAAGCATCTTCAAATTATCAAGGGTTATGTTTATTTAGATATTATCATTACCTTCGTCATAGCACTTCTGGCAATATTTGTAACTCCAGGTCTTTCAACTCCCATATGAAATTGAACAGGATCTACTGTGGCTGCATTGCGTTTAAACAAGATAGAAGGAGCAACAAAAGAATATCCCTACAGAACAAAGACAGAAGATAAATGTAAAACCTTGAGGTTGTCTATATAACATATAATGCAGACAGTAAAAAGTTATCTACTGAAAAATGGGTAAATGTCATTATAGGCGAGGTAAAGATGCAACTTCATTTTAAATCAATAGAAAAGTGCCTTCCTGAAAGAGGTTATACAAACTTCTTTCTTTAAAAAAAAAAAAAAATAATAATAAGAGATTGTGTAAAAAAATGCTCAGAAAATCTGACTCACAGATTCAGTTCTTTTTCACTGGTGACAAAGGTTCACACTTCAAACTGGCTAGCTTCTCAAGATACCTATAGTTAAGGTATCAAATAAGTTTACATTATGATGGGGCATATGTCTAAAAATTGCTTTAAATGGCCAAACAAAAATGGTATGCTGCATTGTTAGTGGAGTTATCTTCAGTTAATATGTTCAATATATCTAGATCTACAAGAAATTCAAATAAATATTTAAAATTTAAGGTAAATAGCTTGAACGTTATTTGTAGCACACGTAAATATTATAATGTTGATGTATTTTTGGTGGACGTATACCCAAATAAGTTGGATTTCTCTAAGGGTATGTCTACACTTACCCGGTAGTTCGGCGGCGACCGATCGAACTTCTGGGTTCGACTTATCGCGTCTTGTCTGGAGGCGATAAGTCGAACCAGGAAGTGCTCGCCGTCGACTGCGGTACTCCAGCTAGACGAGAGGAGTACCGCGGAGTCGACGGGGGAGCCTGCCTGCCGCGTGTGGACCGAGGTAAGATCGAACTAAGGTACTTCGAACTTCAGCTACGTTATTCACGTAGCTGAAGTTGCGTACCTTAGTTCCATTTGGGGGGTTAGTGTAGACCAAGCCTAAGTGACTAAGCAAATAAAATCACTTAAAATAAAACAGTATGGATACTTCATAAACAGGGAAGGTTAATTCCCTGTAAATAATAATATATCCAAGACTACAGGTGTAATAGTGACCTAACTGTTTATGATTTTTAAAAGTCTAATTTCCCCACAGTATATATTTAAAGTGCTTGTTTGGTCAATATTTTTTCTTAAGTAATTTTATTTTGTGTATTTGGAAAATAAGTGACACTAATCTTTTAGAAAACAGATATTAAAGTCTACAAAAATTGAAAGTTATTTAATACCACGCAAACCATTCAAATGTAACATCCTATTTTTTTTTCCATTTCCCAGTGGACTACATGTTGAAAATGGCATTCATTTATGTTCATAATAGACACATACTTTAAAGAACACAACTTAAAGTAAATTCAAAGATATAAATGAAATATGTGACCAAAAAGAATTTACAAGGTGTCTGATAAAATTTTCAAATGCATCTAAATCTTATTGAATTTTTAAAAACATGTTTTAGGTGCTCCTGAAAATTATTCCCATCCTGAAATATTATAAGAGCTCAAATCATTACATATAGGAAGAATTCCAACTGCAGGAAGCAAAATAAGAAAAAAATTTTGAGTGTATTTTTCACCTGTGTGGACAGCATATTGGTAGATTGCCGTTTTCTGTGGAAACATTTATAGGCCCACGGCCAGAGGGACAAAAATCTGCAAGATTTTGCCTCTATCTTCTCCTCAATGCATCCACAGAGGCATATGGCCTGAGGTAGAAGTACAGTGTATCGAAGATGGCTGATACTCCCCTTCTCCTTAGTCTCCTCCCCTCCCCCCGAGGAAATGGGAGATCCACACGAAAGGCAACAGCAATTAATTATCATTAAGACTAATTTGTACTAGGGCTGTCAAGCAATTAAAAAAATTAATTGTGCGATTAATCACACTGTTAAACAATAATCGAATACCATTTATTTACATTTTTTTGGATGTTTTCTTCATTTTCAAATATATTTATTTCAATTTCAACACAGAATACAAAGTGTACAGTGCTCACTTTATATTTATTTTTATTACAAGTGTTTGCACTGTAAAAAGACAAAAGAAATAGTATTTTTCAATTCACCTAAGTACTGTAGTGCAATCTCTATCATGAAAGTTGAACTTACAAATATAGAATTATGTACAAAAAACTGCATTCAAAAATAGAACAATGTAAAATTTTAGAGCTTGCAAGTCCACCCAGTCCTACTTCTTGTTCAGCCAATCGCTAAGACAAAAGTTTGTTTACATTTACAGGAGATAATGCTGCCCGCTTCTTGTTCAAAATGTCACCTGAAAGTGAGAATAGGCATTCTCATGGCACTGTTGTTGCCAGCGTCGCAAGATATTTATCTGCCAGATGCGCTAAAGATTCACATGTCCCTTTATGCTTCAACCACTATTCCAGAGGACATGCATCCATGCTGATGATGGGTTCTGCTCGAAAACCATCCAAAGCAGTGCGAACCGATGCATGTTCATTTTAATCATCTAAGTCAGATGCCACCAGCAGAAGACTGATTTTGTTTTTTGGTGGTTCAGGTTCTATAGTTTTCGCATCAGAGTGTTGCTCTTTTAAGACTTCTGAAAGCATGCTCCCTACCTTGTCCATCTCAGATTTGGAAGGCACTTCGGATTCTTAAATCTTGGGTCGAGTGCTGTAGCTATCTTTACGAATCTCACATTGGTACCTTCTTTGCGTTTTGCCAAATCTGCAGTGAAAGTATTCTTAAAACGAACAACAACATGTACTGGGTCATCATCCGAGACTGCCATAACATGAAATATATGGCAGAATATGGGTAAACCAGAGCAGGGGACGTACAATTCTCCCCCAAAGAGTTGAGTCACAAATTTAATTAATTCATTAATTTTTTAATGAGCGTCATCAGCACGGAAGCATGTCCTCTGGAATGGTGGCTGAAGCATGAAGGGGCATACGAATGGTTAGCATATCTGGCACGTAAATACCTTGCCATGCTGGCAACAAAAGTGCCATGCAAATATCTGTTCTCACTTTCTGGTGACATTGTAAATAAGAAGAGGACAGCATTATCTCCTGTAAATGTAAACAAACTTGTTTGTCTTAGAGATTGGCTGAAAAAGAAGTAGGACTGAATGGACTTGTAGGCTCTGAAGTTTTACATTGTTTTGTTTTTGAGTGCAGTTATGTAACAAACAAAAAAATCTACATTTGTAAGTTGCACTTTCAGGACAAAGAGATTGCACTACAGTACTTGTCTGAGATGAATTGAAAAATACTATTTCTTCTGTTTATCATTTTTACAGTGCAAATATTTGTAATCAAAATATATACTTTGATTTCAATTACAACACAGAATACAAGATTTATATGAAAATGTAGAAAAACATCCAAAATATTTAATAAATTTCAATTGGTATTCTATTATTTAACAGTGCAATTAAACCTGCGATTATTCGTGATTCATTTTTTGAGCTAATCACGTGAATTAATTGCGATTAATCGACAGCCCTAATTTGTACATATGAATAATCAGACAAAACCAGCATTCCAGTTATCAAATAGATTAATTTGCTTCTGTATTTGGTTAAAAGAATCTGGTAGCAAAGATATTTCCTTATGTAATAGACCTGATCCTGTCCCACTGAAATCAACAAGAGATTTGACATTGACTTCCTAGGGGTAGGATTGGGCCCAAAAATGATACTAATGAAATCTAATTTTTCATATATAACACAGTGGTTAAATGAGAAACATGTATTATATAATAATAAGTGTACAAGAGTGTAACACTGGCTGTTTATTAAACTATCAACTTTACTAATAATTCACAATTTCTATCCTCAAGAAAGATTTATATAAAAGGTGTAACATAGCATAATTTATCTGTTAAAACTACATTAATGATCCAATTCTGAACATTGATTCTGTATTCAACTCCCAATAACTTCAATGGCAATTACAAACACACATGGCAAGGACAAAATCTGGCCATACATGTGGGAAATGTATCTTTTAAAAGAGTTGTAATATTCTACAATTACCTGAAATATTCTCTCTGAAGTCTGTGGTGTGGCTGCAGGAGAGTATGTGGGATCCATTTCTGTAAACTCCTCTGCAAAGTTACTAACGTCCAACTCATCCCGGATTACTGGTTTAAACGGAGCTGGTATTTTTTTGGCAGCTAAATCGTCCCAGTTTATTTTCTAAACCCAGAAATAACAAATGAACTTTGAATCAAAATGTAAATTTAACAAGACAGACATATTAAAAGGAGAGATTAATATTTCCAAATTGAAACAGCCCCTGTTCACTGCTTATAGAAGTCAGGAAGAACTGTTGAGGCTATGTCCCCTTATATATTCCTCAGGTTGGAGGCAGAAGAACTAAGCAGCATTTGTGCATAGCCATATGGACAATGCTCTAAAAAAAAAAAAAAGTCTGATTGTGTGCTGAAAATGAATACTTCACTTAGAGCAGGGATCTGTCCACAAAATGTTTGAAAAAAGTAAACATCCATCAGTTATAAAAATAATTCCCCTACCATTGTTTTGAACAAATCTATAGCCTAATGCAAAAAAAATGGCAAATTGAAATATGGCAAGGAAATAATGCACAATGAGAAAAGGCACCTGAGTCTTCCAGTGAAAATGGTTCTGATTTCACTCAGTTATGACACATTGAAAGGGAAATTTCTTACCTGATAATTTTCTGTTAGCAGCTTCTCTCAGAATTCATTACTAATGGACTAATGCCCCACCCCCCACACCTGTGGAATTTGGAGATCGTCCGATGTTGTTGCTAGAAGGCCCAAAATTAAGCTCCACCCTTCAGCTCAGGCCACCAGAACGCTTCTTCCACAGCCGCAGAAACAGTCCAGAAACTCATTATTAGCACTAAGAGAACATGATATAATGTATTAAATTGGCCTCAAGACAATATATGTCTGTCTCCCTTTAGAGAAAATTTCAATTTATACTCTGGTCATTTGCCAGACTACCAGGTGGGTTGAATTCAGAGAGAAGCTGCTAACAGAAAGAAAATTATTAAGAAATTTCTCATTCTATTGCACAGCTTTTCTCCTCATCCATTACTTATAGGAAGTAGTGAGCAGTAAATTCCAGAAGTGTGGGGGGTGGGGCTCAGGAGGGCAGATATACTATAATAATTAAACAACAGGCAAGAATGGACATGCCTCCAGATAAAGCAAAAACTTTATAAACTAAAGAGTTATGTGGGAACCAACTCAGTAGCACCTTCCTATTAAAAGACATCTCTGAAGAGAAATTAAAATTTACTCTGCAAATCTTCAGCCTTCCTCTAGGGGCTTCTGTGAATAGTTTTCCAAATGCCTAATACGCCAATTAGTGCATGGATTTTATATCTTGCCTGCAGCAACCTTGAGGATGTAAGGCCTTGGCATTTTGGACAGAATGAAATGGACAGGATACAATTGGCATATGTACGCCATATGCTTGAGATATATCTTTAGAGCTGTAGGAATACCCATTTATGCCACAACGTTCCAGGAGTTAGAACAAAATGATGGGAGAACTATTTCCCCAGAATTGAGAAAAGATGAACTTACTTTGAACAGAAAGGTATCTGAAGCTATAAGAATAACCTTTTTTTCCTAATGACAAAAGCAGTGTGGTTCTTGTACATATACGGGGACTAATTTCAAAACTTGCTTTTCAGAGGTAATGGCAACAAGAAAGACCAGCCTCAGGCTTCTTTAATTTGTCATTGTGATTAAACTGGGCACCAGATACTCAAAAAGAGAATCTGATGTGCCTGTCTACAAAATGCCACTATGGCTGGTAACCACACGTTTAAGATGCTTGATTGTCGGACTCCAACCAAACCTCCTGGAGAAACACTAGCGTAACTGAGATCACCAGAACTTTGTATTTATTATAATAGTTGTATTACAATAGCATCTAGAAATCAGGGCCACGTTGTGCTGAGCACTGCCCAAAAGAGCTTGCCATTTCCCCTCGCACCAGAAACGTAAATTTGATCAGATTAATGATGAAATATCCTGGTTGAGTTCTGTGTGGATACCAAACTATCAGAAGCTAATGGACAATTCATGGTGAACGACACTGGTCTTCCAACCAGTGCTCATTCTGTTAACTGCAGGTGTGACCAGTATGAATGGAGTCACTGCTACAAAATGTCTTGTGTTTTCTGCATGAAAAACATGAAGTCTTTGACTATCCGGAAAGTCTAAAGTGCTTTCTGGGTCAGTGGAGCACTAGGAAGACCACCACAACGCTCCCTTTTCCTCTTTTCTGTGTCCTTTATGTGAACGGTCTTCAAAGATAGATTCTTTTTGGCCCAGGACATTTTTCTATTGGCACAGACCTCTGGTTATTCCCTGGTTTTGGAAGGTATATAAACATTTAATCATAAGCCAACCTCTAATGAGGTGGGATGCTTTCTCTGCAAGTACCATAATTGCCCACTATGTGGTATCTTGCATCTTCAACTGATTCAGCTATCGGTCACTAGATACTGGATTCAATGGACCACTGGTTCTATCCTATATTGCCGTGTTTGTTGTTTTTTAAAGATACACCCTGATACAGATGTTGTAATGAATTTATATGAGATTTTAGAAATTTGTCTTCCAAGTATGCTTGCTTCCATAGTGAGTATGCAAGGGTCTACAATGAAATTAGGGTTGACTTTCAGCATGTTGTTTGTACTTACCTGCCCACAAAGGATAATTTGGATCTGAAAATGATACCTAATTTTGCATTGCATCAAGTGCATGGTTCTATGTCCCCAGAAGGAATTTCAGCAGGCGCATTTTGAGAAACCCACTCAGGGGATGAAGTTGATGTATGGCACTAGCAATCCTAGCCTTTGGATGAACCCTCAGGAAATGACTGATGCAATAAAGTTTTGGTTCTTTGCAAATCTTTATCATTTTGTTAAAATTACAGCAAGAACCAGCTCTGTTTTGACCTCTGGTGGTATGTCTACACTGCAATTAAAAACCCAAGGCTGGTCCAAGATAGCTGACTCGGGCTTGCATGTTGTTTAGGTATGAGTATAGAGTGTAACGTGAGACCTGTGCCTTGCTGTGACTACCACCAGACACTTAAGACTCTGCATAGAGGGAGGATCAGAAGGAAGAGTCTTGCACAGGAATTGTGAGGTTTCAGACACAAAGGTTCTTTTTATCTGGCATGCTGAGGATTTTTTTTTTTTTTTTGGAGGAAAATTAATCTGGCTTCCCTTTGAAGCTTCTGCTCCAGATTTCTCCCCTTTGCCAGGGAACAGTCCAGTCCCTTCTTGGATACCCTTGGTGTTGGTAGCAACCAATGAATGGCTATGCTAGCTTTGACCGCGAGGGTTGAGGACTCTCCATAATCTCAGTTACTAATATCTCTAATGTTCCCCCCAAAAGCTCCTTACCTCTAAGTCCAGATTCACGCTCCATTTTGGTCAATGTCATGGTCATAGAAATTTAAAAATCATAAATTTCATGATTTCAGGTATTTAAATCTGAAATTTCACAGTGTTGTAAGTGTAGGGGTCCTAACCCAAAAATGATTTGGGGGGGTGAGGTCGCAAGGTTATTGTAGGGGGCGTTGTGTACTGCTACCCTTACTTCTTCACTGCTGCTGGTATGGTACGGTATTGCCACCTTTACTTCTGCACTGCTCCTGGCTGGGAGTTGCCTTCTGAGCTGGGCATTCGGTCAAGAGCTTCCGTTCTCCAGCCACCCAGCTCTGAAGGCAGCGCAGAAGGGTGGCAATACCGCAACCCCCACTGCAACTCCCTTTTGGGTCAGGATTCCCAATCTGAGAAATGCTGGTCTCCCTCTGAAATCTGTATAGTGTAGGGTAAAGGCACAGAAAAGACCAGATTTCACAGGAGGGGGGAGGCCAGGTTTCACAGTCCATGATGCATTTTTCATGGCCGTGAATTTGGTAGGGCCCTAACTATGAATCACAGAAGATTAGGGTTGGAAGAGACCTCAGGCGGTCATCTAGTCCAACCTCCTGCTCAAAGCAGGACCAACCAAATCATCCCAGCCAGGGCTTTGTCAAGCCAGGCCTTAAAAACCTCTAAGGATAGAGATTCTACCACTTCCCTAGATAGCCCATTCCAGTGCTTCACCACCCTCCTAGTGAAAAAGTTTTTCCTAATGTCCAACCTAGACCTCCCTCACTTAAGACCAACCTAGACCTCCTCCCAACTTGAGACCATTGCTTCTTGTTCTGTCATCTGCCACCACTGAAAACAGCCTAGTTCCATCCTCTTTGGAACCCCCCTTCAAGTAGCTGAAGGTTGCTATTAAATCTCCCCTCACTCTTCTCTTCAGCAGACTGAATAATTCCAGTTCCCTCAGCCTCTCCTCATAAGTCATGTGCTCCAGCCCCCTAATAATTTTCGTTGCCCTCCACTGGACTCTCAAATTTGTCCACATCCCTTCTGTACTGGGGGGACCAAAACTGGATGCAATACTCCAGATGTGGCCTAATAGAGAGAAATAATCACTTCCCTCAATCTGCTGGCAATGCTCCTACTAATGCAGTCCAATATGCCATTCCTCTTTCTGGCAACCAGGGCACACTGCTGACTCTCATCCAGCGTCTCGTCCACTGTAATCCCCAGGTCCTTTTCTGCAGAACCGCCGCTTAGCCAGTTGGTCCCCAGCCTGTAGCAGTGCATGGGATTCTTCCTTCCTAAGTGCAGGACTCTGCACTTGTCCTTGTTGAACCTCATCAGATTTCTTTTGGCCCAATCCTCCAATTTGTCTAGATCACTATGGACTCTATCCCTACCCTCCAGCATCTCTACCTCTCCCCCCAGCTTAGTATCATCCACGAACTTGGTGAGGATGCAATCCATCCCATCATCCGGATCATTAATGAAGATGTTGAACAAAACTGGCCCCAGGACCAACTCCTGGGGCACTCCGCTTGATACCAGCTGTCAATTATGAGAGCCCCTGTGTGGGAGAAAAGCTACAGCAAACACTCCGTTGGGGGGAGAAGGCACAGGACAAGAAGTTTAACCCCTGATTTTCACCACACTTGTTCCTTAACAATAGTAATCGCTACTTTTTGAAGGACATGCTTGCTTTTGCCTTTTTAGGATTCAGAGTCTCTGGGGCTTGCAAGACTCAACCCCCCATCCCCATCCCCCCATGTATCATGAGAATTCCCTGATTCATAGTGGAAGGAAT